CCCCCATGTCCCCTTCCCCGCCCCCTCCCGCAAACCCCGTCATCTGTGGCACCGAAAAAAACCCGGAAATCGAAAGAAGCGTAAATCCGGGCGCGATGACATGGTTGATTTCCGCAAAAGCAAAAATGGATCACGTGAATAAGAGGAAACTGCACGCGCGCATAGGCGGATCCAGGGCGGGCCCCTAGGGGGTGGCGACAGGGATGGGGGGGAGAAGGGGGAGGGGAGTGAAAAAAGGGGGCGGGGCTTTTAGGGAAGAGGGGGCATGGGGACGAGGAAGAGAGTCCCCTCAAACCCCGGAACTATGCAAAAACTAGGAATAGAGTTGTAACACACTGCTACTTAGGGGGTATTTTAATTAGGAGTTACTTTAGGCCTTCTGTTTATTTTAGACCCGGACTTTTGCAGCACTGGTGCTTGGGAGGGGCTTAGGGGAAAGGGGAGGGGCGAAAGACTTATCGCCCCTCCCCCTCCCCCCTTCCCGGCCCCTCCCCGGCCTACAAATGTACACGAAACGTGTATGCCTAAAGGGGAACCACTGAAACTCAGCTCGGCTTTGCCTGCTCCGGGTTTTGATTCGTGGCGACTAGGGGTGGTTGTAGGGGGTTGAGGCAGGAGGGAGGGGCCAGGGGCAGAGAGAATCATACAAAAGGAAGGGGGGAGGCCACAAGGGGCAGGTCAGTGATTGAAAAAATCTCGATTGGAAGGAAAAACTGGAGACGAGGGTGGTCTGCGGGGAAGGGGGATGTCCCCTGGATTCTCCGGTGTTTAGCTAAAAAGTTGATGCTGAAGGGAATCTGGCAGTCTCGGACGCGATACCTCGGATTCACCTGGACAAAAAAAATCGGCTCCGCGATTTTCGCAACTCAAATCCGAACCCAGAAATGAGTGCATGTTGCGCGGCCGAGCCGAGTTTTAGTAGTTGCCAACTGCGGCTGCTCCGTTTCTCCCTGTCCCTCTCCCCATCTCTCTTCCGATGCTTAAATATGTTTCGGTCGCAATATTACAGTTTTCTAGATAAAATACCCAGCTGTGCAATACATTTTTATAGTAGACCAATCGTGGTAATGGTAAGAAATGTATACAAATCTTAATGGATCTGTCGTGTAACAGATCAAAAATGATTAATGTTTTTGTTAAAAGTAGGTTAAAAAACAGCTGCGTTACTTTGACGCAGTATCTCTATCCCTGGTTCAAACTTTGGCCACCCTACCCTCATTAAACTTTCGATCTTTGTCCCCTGGGGTATAAAAGCACTTCTTCCCATCGCCGGGATCGCCACTACCCATCTACCACTGCGACCTATTTTTATTTAGCTTCTACTCCTGTTCTGGAGAGCTTCGGCTCCTCACAGTCTCACTCTCTTCTTTTGTATTATCTTTTTAATATCCCGTGTATTAATAAATATGTATATAGGACGCGACGTCGTACACACGTACACACACACTCCTGCAACCGGGGCACACACTAGCCTAATAAGCTAACAGTTAAGGTCGCGATAAGCGAAACATTTCTTACCATTAAAAATAATTTTCAATAAATTTAAAATTTCATATAATTTCTTTTCAACATTAAGATATTATGGTAGTTTCCTGACAAAGCGAATAATAAATTGCGGCCGTTAAAAAGCCAAATCGTAACCTTAAAACAAGCGGAAGCCGAGCCTTAGCTCTGTTGATCCCTCGGAATTTCACTCATTCATCTTGTAGCGCACAAATTTGCTGTACGTTTAGGTGGCATCGAAAAATACACGTGAATAGAGAAGGGCGGGAGGGGGATAAGCTAAAAGATAAAAAACTGATGAATTGTGCAAAAAAAAAACTTATAATTTTGTTTCAGATGCATTTTTCATGATGTGTAACAGCAGTACAAAACGCATATTGTCACGGGGTTGTCTGTGTGTGTGTTTGTATGTGTGTGTGTCCGCAGCAAT